GCAGCCTGTCCCGCCTGCGTGAGTGCCCCGGCCGCTCCCGCATCGTGCTGGCGCTCGGGGCCACGCAGATGGCGCTCGGATGCCTCATCGTGGCCGTCAGCTTCGCCGCGCTGGCGCTCACAACCTCGGCCCGCGTTCGCCACTCCTGCCCCTTCTGGGCTGGCTTCTCGGTGAGTGTCTGCAGCCGGACAGGGATGTGGTTGCGGGCGACGGGCGCTGAGTTCGGGGCGCGAACGCCCAGGGCCAAGCAGCTGCAGCGCGGGGTGCAGTTCAAAACTCCGGGCAGAATAACTCCGGTGACCGAGTCGGCGCTCGCGGAGCACCGCGGCACCTTGCCTTTTGCTCTAGTCCCCGGAGTTACTTTTCTTAGAGGGAACAAGCCACACTCGCGCCCTGCGCCAGCCCCCAGCGGCCAGAGGTGCCGCTACCCGGACTCTGTGCGCGGGGCCGGACGGCGTCCGAGGCAGGGCGGGCGGGATCGGAGCCTGCGCGGAGCCGCGTGTCCGCGCGGAGCCCGGGCGTCGGCGCGCGGCGCGTCCAGTCGGGGTGCAAGTGGGTTCGGGCGGAGGGGACCGGGACCTTCCGGCCCCCTGTGGGTATTCGCCGACTTGGCGCCTGGGACTTCTTATTTACTGTGTCCACAGTATTCTGTGGGCGGCAGCAGGACTGGGCAGGTGGCCGGCAGCGGACGTCCTGGGTCGGGGAGCGTTTTCTGAACTCCGGATCCCCAGGATGACCGATTTTCAGGCGCTCGCCTCCAAATCAGAAGCCAGTGAGAAAGACGTTAGGAAATCTCTACGTAAAGAAGTGATTTTCCTCAAGAGTTAATTTTTTGGCATTTCGAGGAAAGTATTTTTCCCCATATTAATAAAGAATGGACATATGGGGATGTGAAAGGTATTTATAAAGAGGTACTTGTTCTGAAAACTCTGGACATCTACAGCTGCATTTGGTTTATGGTGCCGAAATCCATCATAATGGGTCACATTGTACACGCTGTGTTTTAACACTCTACAGAAATCCTAACCAAGCCTTTGTAATTAATGTTTGCTATTAGCTCTTGAGTTTTGAAATTTGAGAAATCTGTCTAGCTTTGCTTTTATTTGTTTGTTTATTTTGTAATGGTCTTTGTTCTCTAAGTTCTCTAAGCCTGGCTTTCACCATCAGATCTGAGCACGATATCCTCTGAACACCCCGATCGATCCAGGTGTGGTTGCTCATCCTAATGGGGGTATTAGTTTTCAAAGCTTGGAGAGCTGAGTGGGAACGACAGAATGTGTGGTCACAGCTGTGAGTGTTCAAATAAGAAGGGAGATTGGAGGCAGGCACACCGGAGCCGTGATCCAAACGCTGCTCTATATATGCTCTCCACACATCTGTTGCTCAGTTTTTAGCATTATTTAATATGCATTGTTTTCATGTCTGCCTGGTGGGCACCGAGGTTTCAGTCTGCTGGAACCAGCCTACAGGTGGCAGACTGGCGAATTAGCTCCACTTCTGGCTCTTCCCCCAGGCCCCTGCCCTCATAGACTTAGGCTCCCAAGGGTGTGGAAAGAGAACTTCCTTTTAATAATAAACCTAAAAGGGACGACATTAATTAGGCACAGTAGAAAAGATATTTATGTGAAAAATGCACATTTACTACATTTTAGTCTGAGGAGTTAAATAAATACGTCAAACAGTTAATTCAGTTTGCAGTTCCAGTATTCTGTTCTCCAACAATGATAACCTACTAGTTCTAACATTCTGTGATTCAGAGTAATTCCGAAAGTTCTGTTGTGTTCTGGGGACCAAAAATGAATGCAGTGTGTCCTACTTACTCTGTTCTGGGTCCTTCTCTCACTCTCCCACCCTTCTGTTTCTCATGGTCCTTGTCTTTGTCTTCAAATTCAATTTGCCACAAGCACCTTGAAAATTCTTTCATTGGAGTACAGTGTATACTATGTGGCAACTATTGTCTCCACCCTTTGCAGAAATGGTAGACAGTTAGGTTGGGACAGGGTTGCATGTTATAATAGCATGGCTGAGGGTGGCTAACACTGGCACCTTGCCATTCGTAATATATGCCTGTTCTTTGGGACTGGGTACGAGTGCATTCACCTTGTAAGAATGTTCTTGTATAGGAAAGGCAACTAGGGCAGCTGGCCTTATATAAAAATCCACATGGGGCTTAGGATGGCATTCTGGTTCTTCTGAAGATTCTGAAACGAGGCCTGTGGGCTTTCTAGTAATTTTGAGTTTTGGACTTGCTCTGTGGTTTGTACGTGGTGGAGAACCAGTATAAAAACAATTCTCTATTTAAGAAAAAACAAATAGCTAAGACAGACAGCCCACACTTACTGTGTACCAGACAGGAGCTGAATGTTGTACACACACTGGCAACCCTGAGGTAGACAGTGCTTCCCTTCCTTTTACAAGGTAGACAGGCGCTCAAGGTCTTGTGTGCTCCCCTTTCCTCGAATTTGGTGGGCCTAAGCCTGTAGTATACAGCAGAGCTGAGTATCTCAGTACAGCCCTAAGCCTCAAGAAGTCTTAGCGGCTTCTGTTGAGTAAACTGAAGGGAAGTGGTATTAAGGAACTGCCTGAGGTCACTTAGCTAAGAAGTGACTTTGAACTTAGTTGCTCTGACTTTAGAGGCCACACACCTAACTAACGGTTACACTAACTGCCAAGGTGAAAGGGTGTCAGAGGGCAGGTCATGCTCTGTGTTTTAGGAAAGGCATGAAATAAGTCTGGAAAGGTGAAGACAGGAGAAATTCTTGGTGGCATTGCACTGGAGCAGCTGAGGAAGTTTAAGGTGGGGAAGGGAGCTTGGACATAGGCTGGACATAGGCAAGGAGGAGGCAGGCCTGGCCTGAGGTCTGTGATCTACGAGGGGCTGTGCAGTTTCAGTCACTTGAGGGCCACCTTCCACAGTTTTCCTGTCTTGGACAGTGCTATGAAGTGAATTAGGAGGTGGATCAGTTCCCTTGGGGATGAATGCCCAGCCAATATCGAGAGGCCATGAGCTGTTTAGAAACCATAAGAGCAGAACTCGGGGGAGGTCTTGAATAGTTATCCTTTTTTTTGAGACAGAGTCTCACTGTGTCGCTCTTGGTAGAGTGCCATGGTGTCACAACTCACAGCAACCGCGAACTCTTGGGCTTAAGCGATTCTCTTGCCTCAGCCTCCCTAGTAGCTGGGACTACAGGCACCTGCCACAGTGTCTGCCTATTTTTTGGTTGTAGTTGTTGTTTGGCAGGCCCTGGGCCGGATTTGTTCCCACCAGCCTCGGTGTATGTGGTTGGCACCCTAGCTGCTGAGCTACAGGCGCCGATCCTGAATAGTTACCCCTTAATAAAGTAGTTTCATTATTTCCTTTGAGATTTAATAATGCCCCAAACTCAAGACAAACAAGTACATTATGAATTATCTGAATTGCCGGTTATATATGTTGATAAAAACACGGTCATTGGGAGCTGACTCTGTGCATGTGTTTATATTTTTTTTCTTCAAAAGCAGCTCCACTGGATAGCTTTCATACTCCGAAAGCAATATATACTTGTTGCAGTAACTTAAAATTAAGAAGTAAACAGAAATCTATATTCTCTCCTCCAGGTTTCTACCCGCAGGTAACCAGCATTACCAGGGTTGTTCAATGTGGCCCCTCCACGCTTTCACAGGAAATCAGAATATGCTAAAATTTACATGTACATGTGGAATATGTTTTTCTTTTTTAAAAAAAAATTACAAGAATGGGATTATACCACATGCCTTGCTCTGTAAGTTCTTTTTTAACATACAGTGAATATTCCCAGACATGATACTAATAACTATTATTTTTTAACCAGTTATTTTTAGTGGCCACAGAATAGTCCACAGTGTGAATTGTAGCAGTTTATTCAGTTGTGCTCCTGCTGGGAATATTCTGGTTGTATCAGACCTATATCTCTACATAGATCTTATATTTGAAGATAAATCCCCCAAAGTGGATCGCTTGTTAAAAGGTTTTCAAGTTTGGAGTATTGTTAGGTGTAGTCATTCTCCCCCACAGAAGTGTTACCTGAGAGTGTCCTTCTCCCTACCGTATGGTAGCAAAGGATGTTAGCAATCCTGAACGTTTTAATTAATCTGATGGAGAAAAAAGTTATTTCGTTGTTTCCATCCAGTCTGAATTTCTATAGTTACTTGATTATGTGTTGCAAATATTCTCTTGTTTGGCTTAATTTTTGGTGTCTTTGCTATATAAAAAATTTTAATAACTTTTTACCTAGTCAGATCTATTAGTTTTCACTTTTACAATTCCTGGATTCTTTATTTTCAATTAAGAGTGTTATCATTACAGAGGTCACATAATACGTTCCCAGTTTCTTTCTAATGTTTTAGTTTTTACATTCAAATTTTGATTCATCTGGAGTTTATTTGCATGTATTAGGAAGGAAGGGCCTAACACTTTGCTTTCAGACACAGTTCCCGTCTGCGTGTGGTTCTGTTTTAGGCTCTCTGTTCAGTTCTACCGTCTTGTCTCCCTTACAATCCATAGCACCATGTCTCGATTCCAGCAACTTTATGGAAAGTTTTACTATCTGGTAAGGCATATCCCTTTTTTCTGTTTTGCTTTTTCCTTATTATTATTTTTAATTAAATCATAACTTTGTATATTCATGCATTTATGGGGTTCAGGATTCTGCTTTGATACACAATGTGAAATGCTTACATTGAACTAAGTAGCACATCCATCACAATTATACTCATTTCTTAATAGTTTTGAAATGTATCATTGCATCATGCACCTTAGGTGAGGTCCCCCCAAATACCCTCCCTCCCATATCTCTCCTCCCTTCCCCTCTCTCCTCTTCCCTTCTACTTTTTGGACTATAGTTATGTTTTACCATTAGTATGAGTGTGTAGATGGTTATATATTGATTTCATAGTAGTATTGACTACATTGGATACTTTTCCCCCCATTTTTGAGATACTTTACTAAGAAGAATATGTTCCAGTTCCATCCAGATAAGCATAAAAGATGTGAAGTCTCCATCTTTTTTATGGCTGCCTAGTATTCCATGGTGTACATATACCATAATTTGTTAATCCACTCATGGGTTGATGGGCACTTGGGCTGTTTCCATGTCTTGGCTATTATGAATTGGGCTGCAGTAAACATTCTGGTGCAAATGTCTTTGTTGTA